GTTCAAAAAATATTTACTGACTGCAGTGCATACTTAAAGGAAAATTAATCCCTGGATCATCTTGTGTATTGCGACCTTTAGGTGACCTTTTTACATTAGAAAGCTACCCATTGAAATGGAGTGGATCGATGGATTAGAAGTGCGGAATGGTATAGACAAACTCCGTTTCGTTTTGAGTTGTGTTTGCCTCTTTCCGTTTTGTTTGTTTTTATTTGTTTCTTTTTTGTTTTTGTTGTTTCTTTTTTATTATGCTGTGTAATTCGGGGTCTGTGATGTTGTCTTTCAGCGCGAATTATTTATGACAAAGAAATCCTTCGAGTGAAGAGCAGAAGCCTGACAAGTGACAACACTGAATAGACTTGTCAGGAAAAAAAATCATCCCATACAATACTCCAAAATGCTCCCAAAAATAAGATATTTTCAAAACGCATGTTCTGAAAAAGCTGCATGTCTACTACACTCTTTTCTTATTTTATTATTATTTTTTTTTTTTGATAAGAACGTCCTATTTTGGGTCTGAGGCTGAACGCTGAACGATTTGACATTGGAACGTTCTGATATGTTCTTCAAGGTGTGTGGTTTAGTATTTCAATTTATTACACCCATTTTGAAATCACTGGTGGTCCCTGTTATCTGACTGGCTCTAATTGATGCGATTTATTCACGAATCGCACCATTTTTTTGCTTTAAATCGCATCATTTTCCCAGCCAATGAGGATGCTGAGATGCTGAAAACAAAACAACCAATCAGATTTCAAGGCTTGTTTAAAGTAACCAATGTAATTGCAGGAAAATGAAAGACAAAGAGTATCATCTGGCAAATTTTGCAACCTTTGTTTCCAAAACTCTTGTTTTTTTCCCCCCAAAAAATGGATGAATTTAATTTCAAACTAGCTCAGTACTGCATCAATAAAATATTTGAACTGACCAAGTCCTGTACTTGGGTGATTTCAAAATGGAAGTAATAAAGTGGTAATTGAACCTTGTGCCATGCAATTTTGGTCTGAAATCATACTTGTGATTTCAAATCGAACTCGCACTGTGTGCTCATTCGATTTTGAAATCACATGTATGATTTCAGCCCAAATTGCACTCCACTCAGTTCAATTACCATTATAAATCAATGCCAACAGTGTCCCTAAGTATTTTAAGTATTTGAATCAATTGTCCTGGTAGATCATAGTTTTATATTTCTTCTACGTTTGTTTATGCTTCTCACAAAAAACAAAAACAAAAAAATAGACAAAATGGTCGTTCTTAACTGACTCTCAGCTTGGCTAGGTTCTTACTATGTTCCTTAAAATTTCGTTTATCTCAGCCTGAACGCTCCTATAAAAAAATTTCTTATTAAAAAAAAAAGAGTGTGCTGAAAGTTGAAAAAGGAGGTTTTCGAAAATCTTCCAATAATGTTGCTCATTCGCTGTTTTCGAGTGTTAGAATGATTGAACAATAGCCTCACAGACGAAAACGCTTCAAGTATTTCTGTTTGATGAAAACGCATAAGTCAGGAAAGGTTAAAATTGTTTAAAAAATTAAGCGAAACGAAATTAGTTATGGTGAAAAAAGTACGTTATCAATTTTATTATTAAAATAAACGAGATAAAAGTTCAAAATCAAAGCGCCTTGGTTAGTGTTGCTGAGGCCTATGCATGCCCCAACGCATTATGGTGAAAGAGGTATGGTGAAAGAGTTACTCAATGATGAAAAAATACTTCCTTCACATTTACAAATACAAACAGCGATCGATAATGTTTGGTTCAGATCATATGTGGTTTCGTGATTCTTTACAATGTAAACCTCGCTGCTTATTCATATCTTAGCCTGACGAAACCTAGCGGAATCCTGTCGGGCCGGAATCTCGTGACAAGCTGCTTTTTGGGAGAAGTAGTCCGAGGTCTTGCATTGTTCGTTGAGAAGTATTCGAGATAGTTGAGAACCATCTATTAAAAAAAAACCGTTCAATTTACGTTAATTAGCTTTGTCCGAAATTCGTGAAAGTCAGGGAGGGTCATCCCTACGCCTCTAGACAAACCGCAGACTGAAAAGGGTTTCTGTATTAATGTTCTATTGTACAAGATTAAAACTCGATACGGCTTTCAAAATCAGCAAATTTGCAAATCGATCAGAAAACAAAGGGCTTACGGACCAGGCTGAACTTAAAAGTTGATAAGTGAGGTCTGTACAGACAGCATGTCGCGATTTCCGACAAAGAGCGAGAAAAAAAATTGAAGACATTTCTATAAATCGCCATTAGATCTCATTAAGAGAAATGACGATCACAGACTCTTGAGTCACAGAATGAAAACCAGCGTCCTGGGAGTTCTCTCTCTCTCTCTCTATCGATCAGTTATGGTCCTAGGTTCAAGCTGCTAATAAGCCGATTAGTGAAACTCCAGACACTTCTTGTGCAATTTTCCACCGTGATGTTCCACGCTATAAAGGAAAGAGATCAAAGTCCAACCATATACCCTAATTCAGTTTCGCCATTGCACGAAACTCGAAACACGTACACACAAAAAGATACACGGTGCACTGAACCAAGTTTGATCACAAGCTTAGGTCGTAAGCTTCTGATTTGATATAGGATGCGTAGCTGGCGGGTCTTGTGTACGCTTAAGCGATGAGCGGCGAAGCCGCGAGAGGCTTAGAATAATACTTCTCCCCTCAACACTTTACGGACAGACAAACCAAAAAGCCATTTTAAACCGCAAGCTATTAACGTTTGATCTTAACCTTAGGTTTACAGAGCGAGTTATTCACTGGTTTGAAAGAAAGAGAACTCTATTTAGGGGAAAGGTATTAAGCGCGAAAGATTGACAAGCTTTCTAAGGTCTAATCAATCAGTGCAAAATACAGATTCTTAGAAATAATATTTTGATAAGGTAAGCCATTCTTAAAACAGCACTCGATAAGGCTTTAAAGTCATTTCCGCTTCAGTGGGGTCAGCTAAAATACATATCCCACAAATTCTAAAATAATATTAAGCTTTAGTGTCAGGTGTATATGAGGATTGCCCCTGACCTCTGGGATATCATTTAAATCGCTATGCAACAAACTAATTTGCTGAGTTGAAAAGCGGGTGGGTGTCAGTTTGAAGGGAAGCGGTTATTTGAAGAGGGTGGGTAAATTTTTTGCTCAAATTTCATTCTGTTTTCACACTTTCTTATGGACAGCCTTAAAAAGTCCGGAAGTACTTTGTAATTTCACTACTGGCAATTCTAAGTGGCGATTTTGCGAGTCTTTTACGCCATCTGAATCCCTCTTTTACTTTTTGAAATCAATTCAACATAACACTTTTAGGACGGAGAGTAACTTTTCTCACTGATTCCGTTCACAAGGGAAAAAAGTGGTTCTGAAATATCATCTTTCAAAAAATAATCCACCCCATATTGTGTTCTTTGATGAACGGACCGGCATCGGAAGGAAATAAGAAAACAACGCGATAGGTTTGTTTGCTAGTTTGGACGACAAAAGCTCATTTTCCCGATGGACTTCAGGATGTGGACTCACTGATGATTCAAAACGCAATAACTGGCTTAAGATCTGGCTCGAGTCGCTGCGCAAGATGCTTCACTCTATTTCAAAGGCGCCCCTCCCCACTAGAGATTATGAACGTATCCTGAAAGTTCGTAATTGAGTATAAAAAGGTGAATGTAGAGAACAAAAGATCCTCTTAAAAGGCACGGCATATTAAAACGAAGCGATTAAGAAGACCAAAAGGAATCCTTTTTAATCTCTAAGGGGAGGGAATATTAGGAGTAAGGTGATTTGTGTGAGTGATTGTGTTATGTCTAAAATTTTGTTTATTGAGTCTTTTTTCTGGATGAAATTTGTTCGCATGATTTTTGAAAATTCTGCCGTTTTCTTCTCCATAGTCATAGCCTCTGAATAAGAGATTACAAACAGTTTAAATTCTCCTCTGAAGGCATCCTACCGCCGAGGGAACCCGGAGCATATGCGATCTCTTTCGACAGGAAAAACTAGTGACACAATATTATCGATATTCACCTCCATTAAAGCGAGAGAGACAGCCGGAGAGCTGTTACAGATCACAGCTTTACAATTACCATTTGTTATTCGTTTCCTATAAGCACACTTTGGCGCCAAATACACTATTCTCATCCAAGATAAACCCGTCTGTGTCAAATACCACATTTCCGGTTGGACAATCTGTCTGAATTACAAAACTTAAGCGGAAGACAAGATGAGATACATTTTGAGGTTACTTCTGGTGCATGTGCGTGGTGTGCTGCCCAACAAGGTATGTTTGTATTGGTCAGAAGTCTTAAAAATGATATTCGTCTACATTATTTAGCCTCTTGGAAAGAGTATCCTTCTGATCTGGAAGCCTTGCTAAAGCTGTGAGCCATAGCAATGTTGCAGGGGGGAGGGGCTAGGTTGCTCATGACCTCCTCCCCTCTCATTAAGAAGTATTTTTTGGTAATAACATACAAATCTTAGGTATGTGCCAAAACGCGAAAATCCTAATAATGTTCATTGCATAATTTTTTTTTAGTACTAAGTTTATCATTCATGAAAACTAGGCGGGATATGAATACATTACTATGACAAGAGGTCAGTTTAATGCACGTAACTATCTACGTTATCCACTTCAGTTGCAGTACGTTCTGTCTATAGCCGTGAAAAATATAATTATTCCTTCACTCGAATAAGAGAACCCGATTCTTACAAAAAAATGTGCAATTAAGGATGTTATTTTAATTCCAGGTCATTTCACACAGCCCAATTACCCACAGTAAATGATGGTACAGTCGCTACAGTGGTTGACGTATAAAGACTTTTCAAAAGGAGAATGAAAACAAAATCGTGACATTTACAGATACAGTCGAAACGCGAAAATTCTTTGAGTTTGCGAGACAGCTTGGTTAAAATAAGAATAAACATTGGATTTTCAATCAAAATGGGAATACCACACAAAAACTATAGGAAGGACTACATCAGTTATGTAAACGATTGACAATCAACTTAGTCATTAAAATCGGACTTCTGCTGTCACACGTAAGCCGAACGTAGTTCAACAGCGATAACTCTACCGTATTCTAAGTTCAACTCTTTCACATTGGTACAAAAGAAAGGGGGGCCTTAGCATGGGCGAGGTTCTGTTGATTACGAATGGTGGAAATCATTCTGGAAAACAAGCTTGTGATATCTAGCATCAAGGGCTCGGCCTCATCACAAACACAATAACATGTGTCATTCTTTACCCGAAATAATTCAAGTTGCATAAACTTCCACAATCCTTGTGGGATATTTCCGTTTTCTACCACCTGCACTGTACTGAAGGGACGAGAATGTAGTGTTTCAACCACAAAGTCTTTCAATAGGCTCCTTTTACTATCTTAAATTCTGCTTAACAACGAGGATTAGTGAACAAAAATGAAAGAAATGAATATACGTTTTTGTTCAGTTCTCTTGGTCCACGACGGATCAAACATTCTCCGCTTCTGGCCCAACCATGCCTTCGGATTAAACTAAAACAGTGACAAGGTTAACGATGAACTTAAGCCCATGAACCAAACAGTATCAAACGCGTTAAATGCAGTTAAAACATTCTTCGAGACACTGTTACTGTTAAAAAAAAAAGAAAATAAAACTCCACGCACTCTGACCTGATCTTAGAAAATAAAATTTCTACCCTCATCCAAACGTTACTATAGGCTTCTCAGTGAGTCTTTCCAATCGTAACGCTACACTTCTCCGGAACGTTGTATGACAAACCCAATCTCTTCTGGAAATGTGGCGTGACGACTGGAATGAAAGTCACTTTTTACAGTTTATTATTATAATTCTCTTTTACTACGATAAGTTTTTTGGATTTCATGTACACTGTACAAAAAAGTGTCTGTACACAAACTCTGAGCTAAAACTGGACGCTTGTTCACGTTGTTAAAAAACAATACACGACAGACTTACAGTGATGTAGTAATTTAAGAATACAAGGAATAAATTAATCTCCGTAAAAATGCAGGAAAGTTCTTTGGACAGGTTGATCCATGCTTCCCGTTTCCAAAGCAGTCTTTATGTGAAGAATCTTTTGATGACAGAAAAACTTTCCAGTACGCACTTTTTTCCTTAACGTCACGCAACAGTAAAGTAACGTACTTCATTGCATCCAGATCATGATGATCAAGAAAGACAAGCAATGACTGCTTCACAGTTGTAAAATGACACTTTCCTTATGAACTACTCTGGAATTTCAGAGGTTCTTGCTATTATAACACTTGATAATTATTTGGAGGCCAGCCTCGTCAATGCATTTGGATAAAAAAAGAGTCTCCTGTGCAGCCGCTGTTTGGTCTTGTTACGCAACGAACCTTTCCTCATATCGACTGAAAAACAGCGTTGCGTGACACGACCAAACAACGGATGCAAAGGATGCCAGAAAATTATCACACTTATCATAAAATAAACATCTAGAATCGTCTGATCGGGTAGAACACTAAGCTGTTAGAATAACTTAAAGATACTTTCTTAAGGGATACAGATATCGGAGGACTGCGATACAATGAAAATATCTTATCTAAATCTAAAACACTACAAAATTTAGTTCTGACTTAACATAAGACCGCTAATAAGAATCATTTTGGCTGAAACAAGAGAGATACTAAAATAAACACAAGATAAACAACGTAATGATAGATACCCAGAGCTGAAATCTCCAGCAGAAAGAGTAACTTAACAAGGATCAACCTGTCCATTAGGCAAGAAAACGTCTTTTGACTCTATTTCACTCGATCTATTGTCACGCTCTTGGCATGTCACGGAGTCACGCGGTGCTTTCATGCACGCATACGTGTACATCTCTCCTATTTCCCTGGGCAGTAGGCAACACACACGAGGCTTAAAGGCAAATGCTAGGAGGCATTTAGCCGCGCTCTTTTCGCAGGGCTCGTCGTTTCACTTTCTTCCTCTTCTTCCTCCTCATCATCAGGATAGTCAACAAGTCCAACTAATGGCTGTGGAGGAAATCAAAAAGGAAATAAATTTGGGAGGAAGCAAAGGCTGCTCAGTTTTTCCAAAGCAGCTTTTCCTGCGCCATGAATATGGCGTTCTTGATGCGTAAAAGTTTTCTCAAAGGGTAGCTATTAAAAGAAAAACTGATCAATTAGGATAGGGTTTTCGCTTTTTCAGCGACACTATATTTAACTAATTTTTTCACTAACTATTGTTTTTCATCATAACTAAAGATGCACTCACCCGCTTGTTATTGACGATTGAGGGAGGTGCCTTTTCGTTGACGAATGTTTTTCGATTTTTAAAAGACGAGTCCTCGTTAAGAAGGTCACTTTGATCAAGCGTGACATTTTCCTCTCCATTTTCATCTTCCTGGTCGAACCATAGTTCTTCGTCCTCATCGAGGGCCCGCACATCTCGTCTAAACCGGCTGTTCACATGGATAGTGCCGTGATTCAAGGGACCCCTACTGAAATCCAAGAAAAGAAACTTTCAGCGTAAACAGCCAGGTAATTTTAGAGATCAATTTCAAGACAGACCACATTTTAATTAATGAGAAGTTTTATCAGCTGAGCTGTTAACGACGCTTTAATGAAGGCCTAACGCTCGAAAAATCAGCTTTAGAAACTCTCTACCGGATTAAAATTAACAATTCAGGAAATAAAACCAAATTATCTTGTAATATCCCTCCTCACTGACGCAGCACCCCTCCATTGACGCAGCACCCCCCCCCGCTGATGTAGCACCCCCCTTACTGACGCAGCATCCCCCACCCCACTGACGCAGCATCCCCCACCCCACTGACGCAGCATCCCCTTCCCCGAAAAAGAAATTTCAATTGAGTTACACAAGACCAAGACCATCATAATTCAGCAGCCAATCAGGATTAAATAAAATACCACCACGAGAACGTAAACAATGTACAAACAAACAGCTTAACGTATGGGAAAGAGGATACCATGCAGCGAAGAAAACTGTTTTATATCGCTTTTGAAAGTCAAAACGAGCTGCACATGCTGTTGTGGGCTGATTATAGGAAAAGGTGAGGTCTTTTAGGGTCATTGGCATTTAATCGATTAGAGTGGAAATTGAACTTGAGAAATGCACACATACTACATTATGTTTAAATGATCAAGTTAATTTATCCAACGAAGTTTACCTCTCAAGCATCCTGTTCTGTTTTCTATCCAGCTCCTGTTCATCTCTTTGCAGAATCCCTTTGAATGTGCTTACGTATGTAACCTCTTTAAAAAACGGCGTGTATTTGGAACAAACATGTGAGCAGAGGCTCTTTATATCTTCCTGTAACATGAGATAAAAAGAAAAAGCTGTAATTTACTACTGTAATACCTGTAATTCAAGAGTTCCATAGTGCAGAGTTGTGCTAGTTAATATTTTTTGCAATTCTCGTCACTTTGCTGCTTGATATTGTAAGGAACAACTGTGTCTTGGTCATTCCTGGGAATAAAAGGGTTAACTTTGCTTTTATGAAAGCTTTTTAACTTTTTAACATTGCTGAAGGGATAAGGAAGGGAGGAGACATGGAGGGGAAAGAGCAGCTGGAGGAGGGGTGTAGGGGTGTGGAAGAAGGAGGCTTCACCCGGTACAGCTTACTTACCACTCTGATAAATTCAAAGAGCTCTACGATGGCAGAATTAAGAAGATTGTATCTCTGTCCATTGTTTTTGAATGCTGTAACAACTGGATCAAACAACTGTCCCTTGATGATGTAACGGTTGTAGAATTCATCTTTTAAACCAACTATTCTTCTCATAAAGCGTAGTGAATCTGAAATAAAATATTTCAGACAGTTGTATGAATAGACTAAATTATTGATCAACAGTTGCTTCCTCAGAAATTAAACAACTACAATATTTATATCTTTTGAAGATGTATCACTCACTTAAAACTAGAAACTTGTGTTGCGATTTCATTAGCACCAACACTCTTCTTAGGAGGTCTTTACTAATGATGTAGTTTTTTATGTGGTAAGTATGGTGTTCAACACAGAATGTCAGCAGTTCTAAAATGTGTCCAAGTGTCACGCTGTTGACATAATCATCTGCAACACCAAAAAGAGGCCAAAAACATCAGAGTATAAACAGAGATTAAAAATATACAAAACAACGTACCACAGAGCTCAGTTATCAAACTAATTAACCTTCAACTCCCTAAAATCAATATGCATATTCTCTGTACTATTTTCTATACATTTCCTGAGTTGCTGAAGAGGAGAATTTATCAAACAATCAAGACTTCCTTTATTTGGTGATCATTTCCTTTACTCTCATGACATTGATGTACGATTAAGGGGTGATATTGTGAGTTATTGCAAGTTGCTCTCAGGGGATCACAGGGTTAATTCATTGAATGAATAATTAGTTTATTGACTGCTATTGACATACTGAACAACTGACAAACTGTATGACTGACTGACAGACTAGCCGACTAATTGATTTAAAGAAGATTGATTGATGGATCAATTATTAATAATGACAAATCCACTTTAATTTGATACACTTTAATTAGCACAATGGAACTGTTAAATAGAGTTCAATCAATTGTTCTCTTAGGAATCAATATTATCAAATCATAAAATAATAACTCAAAAGCTTATGTTGCGACATTATGGTCTACCTTTGCTTGGCTTGTCATCACTGGTTGCAGCAAAGAGAGGTGCTGTCATCACATGCATGGAATGTTTGTAGAAAAAACTCAAGAATTCAGACTTCTCCATTTTCTATGTAAATGAGAGAAAGACGCATTACAGAGGATAAAAACACAAAACCCTTAATTACACTGAGGAAAAATTAACGAAATAATTATTACATTCTGTGACTCACTGCATCACAGCTCTGGACAAGAAGTCACTGATTTGTCTTGAGTGTAACACTTTCAGTACCACAGTAAAAAGGAAAAATACCAAAACACCATTATCTTACATTTGCTCCTAATGCCATGTTTTCTGGATCCAGCAAAGTTCTTATCAACTGAGAAAGTTGAAAGGCATTTCCTGAGGTAAGAAATACAAGAATATTAACACCACAAAACTTGAGAGAGTGATTCATGAAATAAAAAGAGGTTCAGCAGAAATACCTATTCACAAGTTAAAAATTGTACTTGATAAACTAACCTGTATCACCGTCACATATCATGAAGTCAATAATGTGGTTGATGAGCATGTCCTGCAAGTGAAGAGAAATGACCAAGAACATATGTAAATGATACACAAGATATTTTTCATTATCCACAAACTTTGGTATTAATCAAAACTATAACAAAATTCCCCAATGTGATTGGTTATTAGCAACACAATTTAACCCTTTAACTCCGATGAGTGACCAAGAGAGAATTTCTCCTTAAAGTGTCAATGCAATACAAAGCAGACTAGTGATGAGAATAAAGAAGAATAGTGATTGGGAGATTTTCAGTTGATCCAATAACAAATTCTCCAAACTAACATTATTAGAATTGTATGGCAGATAGTAAGGAGAATATCTGATGAGATCTTGGGAGTGAAAGGGTTAAGTACTAGAAGGATAGTATACATAATTATATACCTTAGGTTGAATTATCAAATGTACAAACTGTATCTCCTGTCTTTCTCTTTGGTCATTCCCCAACTCTCATATAAAAATCAGCCTGGAACCCTGTTTGGGTTCAATTTCTCTTGTAAAAAAAGTCTCATTTTATATTTTGATTTATGTGTGTTAAAATGATGTGTATGTTGTTTCCAAATTTTGTCATCATTGTGATTACTTGTAAAAAGGACTCTGTTTCATGCAATCTTATCAGTAATCTTTGTCATGATTAGCTGATTAGCTTTGTGGTTATGTGATGTTGTTTGCCACTAGTATAATTCCCGACCACAACACACTCTTATCCCTCAATTGCTGATAAATACTAATTTTGCAAGTGAATGGGTCTAGAACCCACCAAGCTTATAGAGTAGCCTGCAAGGACTACTCCACCCTCACCTGAGTTCAATTAATAGAATGAATTACCTCTTCCTGTGTCTGTCCCTCCTTCATGATGAAATCCCTTACAAGATAGGGGCTGATGTCAACAACTTGTGAAAACATCTCCACAGCTGAGAGCCTGTTCTCTTCGCAGTCACTGACCTACAACAACAAAGTTGATAGTCACACATACAAGTAAATAATTCAATTAGGCTGTTACTAAAGAGATGCATGCTATTCATTTTTCTTCTTAAGCTGTGTTGATGAAAAAAAGACTAAATATTTTTCATCTTTTCTTCAATTTGTGAATGATCAGCTGGTCTGAATACAAACAGAGAGAAGAATGGACAAACAGACTGTTTTTTTTTTATCCCAGCAAGAAAACACAAAAAAAATTAAGAGCTTAGAATTACTACATACACTTACCAGAAGCATTTCCATGGCAGGTAACAAACCATGGTGTACAAGAGCCTGTAAGGGTCGCAATACAAATTATAAAATATAAGAAACCATCACATGGCAAACACAGTGGTTTCATTTAAGAAAAAGCAGAGATTAAGTGAATTTTACCATATCAGAAAATATAATAAAACTGATACTATGAAGAGAACCAGATCTCATAATCAATCCCATTTTCAGATGTGAACATTCATTTATTTCCCCTGTACTAGGGACAAGAATGATCAAATACTCCGTGTGACATAATGCAAACAAGTACATTTCCTTGAAAGCTGCTCATAACTGCAACAATTACTTCAGATTTTTATGTTTCCTCATTTTCCACTCTGACTATGTTACAAGGACCAAAAAATAAAAAAAAAAGAAGCAAAAAAAAAACTGAACTGAGCAAAAGGTATTCTTGCATATCAACATGAAGACTGGCTTGAGTTTTTTCAAGTTAACATTTGACTGAACATTACTTCAGTCAAACCTCTATTATCTGGACTTCGTAAATCTGCATTTTTCAATCATCAAGACTTGCTTATCTAGTCCCATTTTTAATGAATATTAATAGGTAGCATGTGTAATCTTTTTTCCACCAAACAAAGCTCATTGATATCTATATTTCTCATTATATGGACTTTTGATTATCAAAATCATTTAGCCCAGTTTTATTGTGCTAATTATTTAGCCCAGAAGTCCAGATAATTGAGGTTCAAATGTGCATTCAACTATTGTATGCAACAGAGTTCATTTACTAAGATTTGTGGCTTGCTTAAACTAAGTCCACTTCCTAAGTAACCTTGAATAAGTGTAACATAAATGCTGGTAGATTCAAGCACTTTCAAAACACAACCACATGTAAATACTTTTCCTGTCAATACAGCAAACATACCTTAAAAAATTCATCCTTCTGGTGAATTTGTAAGTGTAAGGAGAAGCTGACTAATTCTTTCAAGAAATTTATCTGCAGAAAGGAAAGATTGAAAAATAACTGCTGACAAATATTCAGAGTAAACAAACTAATTCTTGATTTAAAACCCTTCAGCTTCCAGAAGTGATTAATGTGTAACTTCTCCTTAAAATAACCATACAAAATCCAGAAAATAAAGGATGATAATCAAACTTATCAGGTAGATTTTGTTGTCTTGATCTCTAACCAAATTCCCTTATTTACTTTAACGTCAAGGAAATGAGTAGCCGCTAGAAGGGAGAATTAACAATCAGATCTTGGGAGTTAAAGGGTTAAAACATGAATTGTGTCTGTCAATGGTGTTTCGCAGTAGTTTTTCATGTTACCATCATCATGGAAGATACAGGATAGCATTTGAACTTAAAAATGATAAACTACTAATACATCAAAGCCTATGTTTTGAAAGGAGTCACAGAAATCTTTAAAGATATAATGGAGTAGTCTGCGATAACAATAAAAGAACCCCAACACTCTAAAATATTACAATCAAACAATAAAAATGCCACATACAAGTTGTTTTCTTCTGTCTTCCAGTGTATCCTCATCAGTGAGTTGTAAGAACATATCCGCTAAAAATTTATCATCCTCCTGCCAAAGATAATTTCAGAGTCAACCAACAAGAACCTATTCCTTAGCAATGTTGTCCTCTTTGTCAACTAGAAATGCTCTTTTACCCCAATATACTTAATACAAAAATAATAAATAACAAAAAATGTTTCTGTTCATAACTGATAATTATACTCAGGACGTTTTTGATTACCTGAGGATATCTCTTTCTCAGAAACACCTTTCACAGATTTCCTTTGGTTGCACAGCTAGTGAGCGGTGTTTAGAATAAAAAAAAAGCTGTTCTCTGACCTGCTGTGCCATTCTAACCACAAGGACAAGTAATGTACACAAACATAACACACTCAAAAGTTTGTCACACAGTTAAGGCAATTTTCGAGGTATTTGCTTTTTCTGACAATCACTAAATAACATCTATTGCAGAGAAAACATATTTCAGAAATGTTGTGCAGTCTCACAAAATCCACCCAATTTCTTTAATTAAACCTATACCCTCAGATTTAAACCTTTCTGATCGCAAAAAAACATGGCGTGAGAACTCACCCTTGTTCTATGGCCTTTTCAGATTTTGTTGGAAGCCTATCAATGCCTTACCAAAGTCATGTTCACATAAAAGCTGCTTTTACATATTTTGAGAACAAATGAATGTCTAGTCTCAGGAAAAAGAAATTTCCAGCCACAGTAAAAGACATCATTAGCACGCACATTCCTAAAATATATGTTCTGAGAGGTGGAAAGTGTTAATTCTTGCCAGACAATATTGAAAGGAAAGGACTTAAAACACAAACAAAGCCTTATTGATTGTCAGTCATCTCAAGTTCTAGTCGTTCACGAGTAAAAAACACCATGTATGATTGTTCCTTTATGGCAAATGACTTCAACATAAAACTGACAAACACTTGATCAAAACACTATCCATTTTCAGAGAGATCTTTGATGAACATGTTCCGAGGGCTTTCTGATTGTCCAAGACAAAATTTTGAACTTCTGATATCAAAAAGGACAAAAATAAACAAAACAAAATCAAGCTTAAGCAACCCCATCCATTGCAAAAAAAGATCTCATAATAGCTGAAAAACATTTTCAACAAGTCAAATTGCTGTGATTTCAATGTTGCAAAATCTCATTAAAATAAACTGTTATCAATCCTTGTATTTTGTTTTTCACTCTGTTATTTCACCTTGTTAAAATGTATTAGTGTCATGGGTGCCAAAGTGAGATCCAAATGTTAATTTGAAACATGCAGTAAGACAAACAACATGTTTAGTATCCATACAAAGGAAACGTCAAAAACTCTCTATAAAACACCTGTACCAAAGAGTTTTTGTGCGCAGTGAAACAACCTCCTACTATCCTGCATTCATTACTGTATAACATACCAAAAACTGTCCTAATAAACTACGAAATGGGCAAAAGAGAAATCAAATCTGATAGCTTACCACCAGACAAAGAGAAAAAAACTCAAAAAAAAAAAACAAACTAAAATCAACAAAGAACAACGTGACGCAAATAAAATTAATAATATGGAAACCTTCAAAAATCATAGCTAACCCAACTTAGAGGGCTAACTTTAAAATCCCATCAAATATTTAAATTTCCTTTTAAAAACACTAGTGTTCCGCAAGGGCAATTACTTCGGCAGTCTGCTTTTTCATCTTTAGGCTGCTATCACAGCGCAGCGGACAAATGTAAAATCTATCTTTACTTGAGACAAAAGTTGATCGTCTTGTATTTCAAACAGAGACGAAATACGTCATCGATTTTCTTTTCCCTTAGCAACATTACCTTCTACCAGAAATACTTCCGAAAAAAAAAAGCTGTATATCTTACCTGAAGATGAGTTACTATTTCTATTCTGTTAAAAAGTATGAACGAATTCACAGAAGCCAGCATATTGTCCTCAAAAATCGACGGCGGGGGGAGGATAGCATCGTAAATGTACTGTACACGATAAGTTTGATGAATCTTGTTTATTAAATCCGGGTTTGATATGGGAATAATTTCTTTGAAGTTCGCGCTTTCCTTCAAAAACACTCGATGCCGTTGAGGAGAAGCTCTGCTCGGGTCGTACTCCAAACATCCAACAACGTCGAATACAAGATCGTCTGCAAGCATGATTTCCAGCAATGAAGGCTTGTTCATGAAAAACAATGACTTAAAAATATCATATAAGTGATGAAGTCCATCCAAGTTCTCCAAATCCTCGCAGATGTGGAACAAGTCCAGTAATTTTCTAATGTAATTGTCTTGCTCAATTGCCAATGCCAATTTTTCCCGGCGAATTGGTGATGGCAACACACTACTAAATAGCTCGGCGATTTCCTCCAGTTTACTAAGTTCGCAGGGCGGTAATTCAATTGGGCCTGTCGAGTCGAGCACTTCTTCAAAACGCTCTTCCGAATCGTCATCCTCTGGTATATCCTGAGTAATGGTTACAGACGGATCTTTCCCTTGGATCTAGAAAAAAACACATCAATAACGAAAAAAGGAAAGTTTACTACTGCGAATGCTACTGAAACAAACAATGGTCGCTGAGACGAGCCTCACAGGCATTAATGATTTCGTAAGAGTTTGTAGGTAAATGATAGATTTGTTAAACATCAAACAAATACGTCTCTTACGAAAGGGAAACATGAGGTAAGAAATGCAGCAAAAGATAACCAGCGATCTCTCATTGTTTTTTTTTTTTGAGAACGTGAAGAAGCAGGCCGCTGAACTCACCTGGCAAATTTTTTCCCAAATCTCATCGCAGCCAGCTTTCTCTTGAAAACTTAAAGCCAGATCGTAGTTGTCGCCTTCTGACCACACAATTAGCGTCTCCTACGAGGCAGAATTGACGATAGCGTTACACAACTCGTTTGACGAACAACCGGCATTACTTTAACGATAAAATATACCTGCTGCTTCTGATAGGCAGTGTGAGGTTGTATCTTTGACTCGAGTAGAATTGAACCTGCAAAACGAAGAAACCGGGTCAACTTACGACAGGTTTTCGGGCTTCCTCGATAAAAAAAATCAAACTAGAATCAAACTAGCAAAGCCACACTACAGTAAAATGGCCACAAACCGTCTTCTTCTGATCGAACCATGATCGACATCCCTTGTAAACGTTCAACATACGACGACGACACGTGCCCCGTACCACGGTCATCCCACTGCCGGTCTTCATTTAATGTATATAGCTTGACACGGCGCCTAGTACTCGCCATAATCTTGGCCCACTAATATATCAAACAAATAAATGGTCCCCGCATCGTCCACCATGAGAAAATCCTGTCAAAGTACACCTTCAAATGAGTCCGCCATGCTGTATTGCTCTACTTTCTGCTAAGACATCAAAACAATAGGGGCGTCCTCAACATAGTCAAGGGGGTCCACTGGTTTCAGTGACAGGCGCCATTTTTGATATTTCCCGCCTAAGGAGGATTTCAAGCAAATGACGAGGTGCTTTTTGAGGTGCTTTTTAAGGTCTTTTAGCACGTATACAAAGTGAGAGAGTTTAGTTTATCTTTGTTTAGTAGGCCAGATTAAACCAAAACTTCCCTAAGCTCTGTATCAGTGTTGAATACATCTCGTCAATCTTGATTTGAACAATGTTCTTTTTTTGCAAAGAACAGAAAGAGAATAAATTCACTAACAAAGAGTGAATGTAACTGGTAAATTTAAAGATTGGTCTGTGTACATGGGTACAGTCGAACCTGTATAGAGCAGCATTGTATTAATTAAGCGGTCACGTTTTCAAAGTCCCGAAATTGTTTACCCTCATTGCTGTAATTTTTTACCTCTATGAAGCGGTCGCAGTCAGCCTTCGCAGAGTCCCAACAGCCATTTTGCATTGTCCTCCTCCACGTATATCACTTAAAGAGGAATCATAAATAAAACTAATTAGTAATCTTTCGATGCAACTTTAATCCGTTTTTTTCCCCGAAATCAATGTTAAGTTAGCAGCATTTTTGAGCGAGTTTATGCACATAAAGTGATCAATTAAGGCGTAAAAAGGCGACATTTATCAGTTTTTGTAATCCCTATTCTGTGCGACCTAAATTAAGCGGTGAAACTGTAATAAGCGGTCACTCTGCCATTCCCAGTGGGTGATCGTTTAATACATGTTCGACTTTAATAGGCAGATCTGTAAATAGCCGGGAGGGGAGGGACTTCAGTTGAAAAGTTGTATTTTTGTAATAAATCTAGATACATGTTCCCAGGTGCAAAAAAAAAAAAGATTTTTTTCTAATTTAAGAAATAAAATAGAACAGCTCTTTCTGCTGGAAATAAAAATGACATCAACAGAGAGATTTTTCTTTTGATATTTTTCATCGAAAGCACTAGATATTATACTGCGCCATTTGCTTGAACCCACTAGAACCCATGCCATATCATGGAATACGCGGTTTCAGCCAGCCGAGCGTATGGTTGCAAATTTGAGGACTCATATTGACATTTATGAAAAATCTCCTGAACGAAAGAGACACAAGTTTTTCCCCTTCCATCCATTTAGAGAAAAAGAATAGTACCGCTATGATAGTTTCAACTTTCATTCACCATCATTGATTTTAATGTTTGCGGTCAAACGGTCTATAATAGTTGATGATAGTTGGCAAAATCACGCAATAAAATCGCACGAGTGTAAACAGGTATGGACCGCGCTAAGGTCTACAATTTCGGTGGTATTTGAGTTTAAGTCAAGAAGTTACGAGTTGAAGATACAGAAGCCAACCGAGAAAAATGTACCTAAGTACCCCCCCCCCCCCCCCTGTGTTCGAGAGCCACTATTCTTTTGTTCAAAACAAACTGTCATTCATTATTCATCTCAAATCGAAAAACATGTTGATAAGCATCAATCAAAATCATCGCCCTCAAAAAATCACAGATTCGTAAAGGTTGCTGATAAATAGTTTCGCGATCGAGAATGACATGGAGATCTGTCTCAGATCTTAGGGAAGAGGAACTCAAATATAACACTTAAATGACTCAGGGTAGACTCGATGGCACAAAAGTGTAAAAGACATGCAAGAGCACACTTTTTCACGAACGAAAGGCGGTTAAAATTTGCATGATTTATGCACCGCACCGTGGGTCAAGTAAGATGGATTTTGAAGAACTGTATTCCCTGTGTATGACAAAATATATTGTTGAAAAATCCTATTGTGAACACCTAATCATCAGAGCTGATTAATTTGCACACAGTATCTGTCTTTCTCTGTTATGATTGTCATGCATACAAATCGCAATCCTTTGTGGATTTCAAGATTCGCCACAAAGAAACTTAGTATAAGGATCAATTCCATTTTGAAGAAAGAAAAACATTTTATATTTCGCATGTGTTAATTCCGTAAGACATGTTTGTATAAATTATAAGCTTTTGAAGCATCCAGTTTGACCAAAATGAAGAGAGAACTCTCAGTAACATGACGTTGCCTACAGAAGTGGATGATGTTTCCAATATTTAAAAATACTGACAGACAAAAAATCAAGTGAACAGGATGGGTAAATTAGAATTTAGAATTTATCTACATTTCATATAAAAGTCTCATGCAGGTCTCTCGGCTGAGAACTACTGACTTCGTCGTTGTATAAAGCTATTTGATATGCTAGGTTGACTTGGTCAAGGACCCGTGCTTTTGGTCATTATTCATCACAAGTAGAAATGCTAATAAGCATAAATGATAAGCATTTATTCCACTCTACTCATTGTTTTGCAACTGTATTCTATGGATTACCGATAGATCAAAGAAGAAATGTCAGAGATTTGATTCCTATCTTAGGGGTGAGGAACGGAAAGAGACTCAAGTTTTAGGGTGTTGCGTTAAAATTCATCAACTAGTAGCAGCTTGTTAAAAAAGAACGAACCCGCGGACTCATCGTTTACGCTTCTTCATTCAATGAAGTATGTCCTTTATTAAAGCTGAGTTTAAGCTTTGGCTCGTGGAATTTAGAATTTCTCGACATTTGGCTGGGTTAAACTGAAGCCGGAACTTTGAGTGTGATCAATGTTTTTTGACGGTTTTTCTTCTCTGTTATACAATTAGAATTCAACGCAAACACGCACACAGGCAGGAAGTAGACATCACTTAGGTCATTGCGACCACAAAAACACAGGCTTCAAATTCAACATTTCATACCTTATGGTAGCTGATAAAATAATCTGCAGTTCAAGCAAATTAACTCGTTACAAACTCGCGATCGTTCATCCGGCCGGGTCCTAAGAGCTTCTCGCATCGTGACTTTAGCTTTTCCAAATACGAATTTCTATCTGTGACGTCTTGATCATGTTTATTTAAGAACCCCTACAATGCATCAGCAAGCATGCCAATTTGAATACTATCTTAAAGGTTGAGTCAATTTGGCCAGTCGATTTGTTGGCGATTCATCGTGTTCATCGCCCTGAAAAGTTCTTTCCCCTTTAAGTAGTGCTGTGCGATTTCGAAATATGGACATTCCAGAAGGCAGGACCAATGTCGTTATCGGTGGAGGGGTGGGTGGCTGTTGCACGGCTCTTACATTGGCAAGAACACAACAATTCTAAATTTATCTCTTGGAGAAAAATGGAGAGTTGATAAGAGAAAGCAGTGATGCAACTGCGGGGCGCATGGGGCTTAGTTTTCATTACGCTGACGAGGAGACAGCCCTCTACTATTTACACGCCACCCTCGAGTTCACCCGAAAGTATTGTCGATTTCGACAAGAGGTAGGTCGAAGTGAAACGATACATCCGCTACGTCGAGGCAGATACTTTATCTTGAAAAGTTCATCGGTTACTGTCAAGGAGATTCTAGATACTTATGATGCGCTCAAAGAAGAGTACACTAATATGGTCAGCAAAGACCCCAGTTACGAAGCCTTTGGTCGTCCAGAAGACTTTTACCGAGTTCTAGAACCTTGGGAGTTCGAAGAAGATGTCGCGACGGAGGAGATAGAAATGGGAATCGAGACTGCGGAGGAGTTACTGGATTAGTCAAGGTTGAGGAGATTTATCTTAAATCAGGTGGAACACTTTCAAGACAAGAAAATAGTTAAAATTAGAACAAACACTGAAGTCACTGAGATTTCAGCGCTTGAAGATTGTGGTGTATACTTAATAAAAGCCTTAGATTTGTCAGCTAGGGGCAACGTAGAGGTTTTTGCCGAGGTAACTGTGAATGCCTCGTGGTACAACATTGGCAAATTCAACAAGATGCTTCGTATTTCTGCTCTAACAAGGAAAAGATGCAACAGAATCAAAGCAATTAGCACGGTGCAACTGCCCGAAGCTCTCATCCACATGCCGTCAATGTTCTTCTGTATGGGACCCTTCTGCATGTTTTCCAACAAAGGGAACAGAGTTGGAATGTTGACTTATGCACCAGAGACAAACATGGCCGTGAGTACCTCTGAAGAATTGGAACCAGAATTCGAGCATGTATTCTTCAATCTCTCAGAAAACGAGAAATACGCCAAGGGTCAAAAAATCTTAGCCGGTGTGTCGAAATACATTCCTAAATTGAAACAAGCCAAAGTGACAAAGGTAAAGCTTGGCATTATCCAAACATTCGTGGATGAAGATACAATAGATTTCGGTTTCAAAGTTGGAAACTTGGATTTGTAGCACGACCCACATGTTGGAGGTATTTACAAGAGAAATTACAGTGGAGTGGAGGAACCTCGGTCTGGATATATAATCAATGCATGTATGAAGCTATTGTATTGTTTTGATAACGCCGAGATCGTGAAGGACCTGATTTTATCGAAATCTGCAGAAGGTTCTCGCACTGAAAGCAATTAAGGGGGACATGTTGGTTTAAAATGTTAAAACGTGACCCCGATAAATTGGCTTCAAAAGCGCTAGAATTTTTTTTTTCCGATTGCCGCCCCCCTTTCAAAGAAATCTCTGCTTGAGATGTGAAGTATTGGGCAATATATACGCGACATTTGTGCGCTCTTATTTAGCGAATTTTCTCGTAGAAAAAATCGACTGTCATGTTTCTATGCACGAATTAATCAGACTGAACTGGTCAGTCTTAACGGGCTATATCCATTTGAGTGTTTTATGTTTGCACATAATTTTCAGCCGGTAAGAGCAAACCATCGCCATAAACTTAAACCATTGCTTGAAAAGCTAAATACTTTAAAGTATTCTTTCTTTGTAAATTGGTCAACGAATGGAATAATCTACCTTAAGACGTTGCGGAGGCAGAAATCTTAACATTTTAAAGAACAGATTCAGATACCATTTTACTAATGTTTTGGGAAATTTTTATTGTGAATTTTATTCAGAAATAAATTTGCGTTTTTTATTATTTTTGTTTCCATTTCACCTTTCCTTTGAATTTGAATTGTAAATAAACGGTTATGTATACTAGACTACTTATCATTTGACTCTCTTTGCCATTATTAATCATTCTCAGAGTGTGACCCCTTTCCTGTGTGACTAAGACTTCTTTCAATTACTTCATTTTTGAAAAATTTAACCCCCATCTTCGAACTTTTCCCGCGGTAAAACCTAGGAAAAGAAAACCAAATTCAAATAGTTTTTTTTCGGTGATTGAGATTGAAGCGTAAAATGATTTAACCTGCGCACGTGTTGGAAGACTCACGACATATTTATCCGGGAAAAACTTGCAAATAAAATTTTTCCCTGATTTTTGACGTTTTCAGAACTCTTATTTCTTGATTAAACAGTCTGGCAAAACTTCGACTATCATTGTTTCTGTTCTCCATGCTTTTTTCGTAAGGGTCGCTCATTATTTGTCACCAATGGGTAGAGGGGTGTGGGTCGATGGATTTTGGTTGTGTCACAATAGCCTTTTTGTTTCACTTGCTTCATGCCAGCATTAGAGTTTTCGCGTATAATTTAATGACGACTTAACTAAAAGGCTTTATAGGGTAGATGCATTAACAAAAGGTGACTAAATTGAGATGGCGAAAATTAAATTTACCCAAAAGTGACTGAGATGGTGTCTCTAATTTGCCACATAAAAGACTATACTGGGGTAGGAATTCTATAAATTCCTGCGGCACATTCCGCCCTCCCCTGTATTCGAGAGCCATTATTCTTTTGTTCATTTCGTTCAACTGTCATTCATTATTCATCCCAAATTGAAAAGCATGTCGATAAGCAATCAAAATCATCGCCCTCTAAAAATCATTGATTCGTAAAGGTTGCTGATAAATAGTTTTCCGATTGAGAAGATGAATGGCCTATAGACATCTGTCTCATATCTTAGGGAAGAGGAACTCAAATGAAATACTTAAAGACATACATTGACTCAAGGTAGACTCGATGGCACAAAAGTGTAAAAGAGATGCAAGAGCACACATTGTCAAGAACGAAAGGGGGTTATAATTTGTATGGATTATGCACCGCGCCGTGGGTCAGGTAGAATGGACTTTGAAGAGCTGTATCCGCTGTTTACGGCAAAATATACTATTGCAAAATCCTATTGTGTAAGCCCAGTCATTATAAACGATTAATTTGGACACATTATCTGTCTTCCTCTGTTATGATTGTCATGGATACAAATCAGAGTTAATCACAATCCTTTGTCAAAGAAACTTAATATAAGGATAAATTCCATTTTGAAGAAAGAAAAACAATTTATATTTCGCATGTGTTAATTTCGTGGGACATGTTTTGTATATGAGCTTTGAAGCATCCTGTTTGACCAAAATGGAGAGAGAACTCTAAGCAGCGTGAGTTGACAACAGAAGTGGGTGATTTTTCCAATATTTAAAAATACTCACAGACAAAAAAATCAAATGAACAGGATGGGCAAATTAGGATTTAGAGTTTATCTACATTTCATAAAAGTCTCATGCAGGTCTCTCGGCAGTGACATGTTAACTTCGTCGTTGTATGAAGCTATTTGATATGCGAGGTCGACTTGGTCAAGGACCCGTGCAGTTTGTCATTATTCATCAAAAGTAGAAATGCTAATAAGCATAGATAATAAGCATTTGTCTCACCCTCACTGTTTTGCAACGGTATTTTATGGGTTACCAATAGATCAAAGAAGAAGGTTAGCGGTGAGGAACGGAAAGAGACTTTTGGAACCTACAGTGATTCCAGTTTGAAGGTGGTACTTGTGCGTTCAAATTCATCAACTAGTCACAGCTCGTTAAAAAAGAAAGAACCCGCGGATTCTACTCATCAATTACACTTCTTCATTCCACCAAGGTATGTTCTTTATTGAAGTTGAATTTAAGCCTTGTGTCACGGAATTCAGCGGAATTTCTCAACATTTGGCCTGGTCAGACTGAAGCCGTAACTATGTGTGTGATTGATTTTTTTGACGGTCTTTTCCCCCATAAAACAGTTAGAATACAACGCAAACACACGGGCAGAGATTAAGTAACTTAGGTCAAAGCAACTATAAAAACAGCGGCTTCAAATTCAACATATTATACCTTATGGTAGCTAATAAAATAGGCCGCCGTTCAAGCAAGTTATTTTTACAAACTAGCGACCGTTTATCCGGCCAGATCTTAAGGGATCGTAAAGTCTGATCTTGACTTTAGCTTTTTCAAACACGAATTTCCATCTGTGATGTCCTGATCATGTTTGTCTAAGAACCCCTGCAACGCATCAGCAAGCTTGCCATTTGAATTCAACTTTGAGGTTGAGTCAATTTGGCGAGTCAACGTGTTGGCGAGTCAACGTGTTGGCGAGTCAACGTGTTGGCGAGTCAATGTGTTGGCGAGTCAACGTGTTGGCGAGTCAACGTGTTGGCGAGTCAACGTGTTCATCGCCCTGAAAGGGTCTTTTATCTTTTAGGGCCATTTGCGAGTTCGAGATATGGACATTCCAAAAGGCCAGACTATTGTCGTTATCGGTGGAGGAGTGGGTGGCTGTTGCACCGCTCTTGCATTGGCAAGAACACAACAATTCCAAATTTATCTCTTGGAGAAAAATGGAGAGTTGATGAGAGAAAGCAGTGATGTAACTCCGGGGCGCATGGGGCTTGGTTTTCATTACGCTGACAAGGAGACAGCCCTCTACTATTTACACGCCACACTCGAGTTCACCCGAAAGTACGGTCGTTTCCGACAAGAAGTAGGTCGAAGTGAAACGTTACATCCGCTGCGTCGAGGCAGATACTTTATCTTGAAAAGTTCATTGGTTCCTTTCGATGAGATTCTAGATACTTATGACGCACTCAAAGAAGAGTACACTAATATGGTCAGCGAAGACCCCAGTTACGAAGTCTTTGGTCGTCCAGAAGACTTTTACCGAGTTCTAGAACCTTGGGAGTACCAAGGACATGTCGCGACGGATGAGATAGAGATGGGAATCGAGACTGCGGAAGAGTTCTTGGATTGGTCAAGGTTGAGGAGGTTTATCATAAGTCAGCTGGAACACTTTCAAGACAAGAAAATGGTTGAAATTAGAGCAAACACTGAAGTCACTGAGATTTCAGCGCTCGAAGATTGTGGCGTATATTTGATAAAAGCCGTAGATTTGACCGCTGGTGGCAACGTAGAGATTTTCACCGAAGTAACTGTGAACGCCTCGTGGTACAACATTGGCAAATTCAACAAGATGCTTGGCATTTCCGCTTTCACAATGAAAAGATGCAACAGAATCAAAGCAATTACCACAGTGCAGCTGCCCGAAGCTCTCGTCCACATGCCTTCAATGTTCTTTTGTATGGGACCCTTCTGCATGTTTTCCAACAAAGGAAACAGAGTTGGAATGTTGACTTATGCACCAGAGACAAACATGGCTACGAGTACCTCTGAAGAATTGGAACCAGAATTCGAGCATGTATTCTTCAATCTCTCAGACGACGAGAAATGCGCCAAGGGTCAAAAAATCTTAGCCGGTGTGTCGAAATACATTCCTAAATTGAAACAAGCCAAATTGACAAAAGTAAAGCTTGGCATTACCCAAACATTCATGGACGAAGATACGATAGATTTCGGTTTGAAAGTCGGAAATTTGAATTTGTTGCACGACCCGGATGTTGGAGGTATTTACAAGAGAAATTACAGTGGAGTGGAGGAACCTCGGCCAGGATATATAATCAATGCATGTATGAAGCTATTGTATTGTTTTGATAACGCAGAGATCGTAAAGGACCTGATTTTATCGAAATCTGCAGAAGGTTCTGGTACCGAAAGCAATTAAGGGTGACACGTTGGTTTAAAATGTTAAAACGCGACCTCGATAAATTGGCTTCAAAGTGCGCCAGAATTAGTTTTATTTTTTCTTCCGGTTGCTGTCCGCCTCTCAAAGCCGTCTCTGCTTGAGACGTCTAATATTGGACAAAATATACGCGACATTTGTGCGCGCTGTTTGGCTGATTTTCTCCTAGAAAAAAAAACAACTGTTATGTTTTTATGCACGATACATTTATTGCAGACTAAACTGGTCATTTAACGGGCCGCATCTATTTGAGTATTTTACGTTCGCACGCGATTTTCGGCCGTTAAGAGCCAACCATCGCCATAAACTTAAAACATTGCTTGCACAGCTATATAGTTATAAGTATTATTTCTTTGTAAACATAGTCAAAGAATGGAATAATCTACCTTAAGAAGTGGCGTAGGCAGAAACTCTGAACATTTTAAAGAACAGACTAAGATGCCATTTTACTGATGTTTTAGGAAATTTCTGAACTATTTTATTGTGAATTCTATCGGAAGTAACTTTGCGTTTTTGATTATTTTAGGAGACAAACTTGAAAGGGATAATCTCTTTTGTTTCCTTTTCACCTTTCATTTGAATTTGAATTGTAAATAAACAGTTATGTAACCTAGACTACTCCCTTTGCCATCACCAACCTATAACTCCCATGGGTGACCGAGACAGAATTTCTCCTTACAATATCAGCCAGATGAGTGATGAGAAAAAAGAAAAATATCAATTTGTGGATATTTAGTTAATCCAATACTAAATTCTCTGAACTTACATCATAAGATTTGTATAATTAACAGTAAGGAGAGTGACAAATTTGATCTGGGAGTTAAGAAAAAGTCTCTGTAAGAATCAAATATCTTGGGAAATGAAAATTTTCAACCCCCTTTCAAATTTTGCATGCAGTTAGGCACTCAGGGGGGACGCACAAAAGTGCCCTTTTTAAAGGTCGCAGCACTCTTGTTGCCGTTTTAACAACGGTTGCTTGTTAGGGGCCTGAGGCCTCCTTTTCATACAAAAACGTCGCAAAAATAGAGTGAAATGTTTATTTCTCTATCTCAAGCTAAATACAACATTACAAATTGGCATTTCTACCATTCATAGTAACATCATTTGGTGACTCATTTGAGATGGCGAATGTCAAATTTTCCCAAAAGTGACTAAGATGGTGTCTGTAATTTGCCACATAGTAGACTATACTGGGGTACGAATTCTATGAGGCCCGCAGCACATACCGAGAAAAATGTATCTCCTAAGTACCCCCTTCCCCCATCCCCCTCCCCCGTGTTCATGAGCCATTATTGTTTTGTTCAAAACAAACTGTCGTCCATTATTCATCCCAAATTGAAAAGTATGTCGATAAGCAATCAAAATCATCGCCCTCAAAAAATCACCGATTCGTAAAGGTTGCTGATAAATAGTTTCCCGATTGAGAAGATGAAAGCCCTGTACACATCTGTCTCATATCTTAGGGAAGAGGAACTCAAATGAAATACTTAAAGACATACAGTGATTCAGGGTAGACTCGATGGCACAAAAATGTAAAAGAGATGCAAGAGCACACATTGTCACGAACGAAAAGGGGTTATAATTTGCATGGATCATGCACCGCGCCGTGGGTCAGGTAGGATGGACTTTGAAGAGCTGTATCCGCTGTTTATGGCAAAATATACTATTGCAAAATCCTATTGTGTACGCCCAGTCATTAGAAACGATTAATTTGGGCACAGTATCTGTCTTCCTCTGTTATGATTGTCATGGATACAAATAAGAGTTAATCACAATCCTTTGTCAAAGAAACTTAATATAAGGATAAATTCCATTTTGAAGAAAGAAAAACAATTTATATTTCGCATGCGTTAATTCCGTGGGACATGTTTTGTATATGAGCTTTGAAGCATCCTGTTTGACCAAAATGGAGAGAGAACTCTAAGCAACGTGAGTTGACAACAGAAGTGGGTGATTTTTCCAATATTTAAAAATACTGACAGACAAAAACATCAAATAAACAGGATGGGTAGATTAGGATTTAGAGTTTATCTACATTTCATAAAAGTCTCATGCAGGTCTCTCGGCAGAGACCCGTTAACTTCGTCGTTGTATGAAGCTATTCGATATGCGAGGTCGACTTGGTCAAGGACCCGTGCAGTTTGTCATTATTCATCAAAAGTGGAAATGCTAATAAGCATAGATAATAAGCATTTGTCTCACCCTCACTGTTTTGCAACGGTATTTTATGGGTTACCAATAGATCAAAGAATAGGTTAGAGATGTGATTGAGATCTTAGGGGTGAGGATACAGAGATATACAGTGATTCCAGTTTTAAGGTGGTGCTTGTGCATCCAGATTCATCAGCTAGTCACAGCTCGTTTCAAAAGGAAAAACCCGCGGATTCTACTCATCATTTACTCTTCTTCGTTCACCAAGGTATGTTCTTTATTGAAGTTGAATTTAAGCCTTGTGTCACGGACTTCAGCGGAATTTCTCAACATTTGGCCTGGTCAAACTGAAGCCGGAACTATGAGTGTGATCGATGTTTTTGACGGTCTTTTCCCTCGTAATACAGTTAGAATTCAACACACGGGCAGAGATTACGTAACTTAGGTCAATGCAACCATAAAAACACAGGCTTCAAATTCGACATTTTATACTTTATGGTAGCTAATAAAATAGGCCTCCGTTGAAACAAGTTAATGTTACAAACTAGCGATCGTTTATTCGGCCGGATCCTAAGGGATCGTAAAGTGTGATCGTGACTTTAGCTTTTCCAAACACGAATTTCCATCTGTGATGTCCTGATCATGTTTATCTAAGAACCCCTGTAACGCATCAGCAAGCTTGCCATTTGAATTCATCTTTAAGGTTGACTCAATTTGGCGAGTCAACGTGTTGGCGATTCAACGTGTTCATCGCCCTGAAAGAGTCTTTTATCTTTTAGGGCCATTTGCGAGTTCGAGATATGGACATTCCAAAAGGCCAGACTATTGTCATTATCGGTGGAGGAGTGGGTGGTGTTGCACCGCTCTTGCATTGGCAAGAACACAACAACTCCAAGTTTATCTCTTGGAGAAAAATGGAGAGTTGAGAGAAAGCAGTGATGTAACTCCGGGGCGCATGGGGCTTGGTTTTCATTACGCTGACAAGGAGACAGCCCTCTACTATTTACACGCCACCCTCGAGTTCACCCGAAAGTACGGTCGTTTCCGACAAGAGGTAGGTCGAAATGAAACGTTACATCCGCTGCGTCGAGGCAGATACTTTATCTTGAAAAGTTCATTGGTTCCTTTCGATGAGATTCTAGATACTTATGACGCACTCAAAGAAGAGTACACCAATATGGTCAGCGAAGACCCCAGTTACGAAGTCTTTGGTCGTCCAGAAGACTTTTACCGAGTTCTAGAACCTTGGGAGTACCAAGGAGACGTCGCGACAGATGAGATAGAAATGGGAATCGAGACTGCGGAAGAGTTCTTGGACTGGTCAAGGTTGAGGAGATTTATCATAAGTCAGCTGGAACACTTTCAAGACAAGAAAATAGTTGAAATTAGAGCAAACACCGAAGTCACTGAGATTTCAGCGCTCGAAGATTGTGGCGTATATTTGATAAAAGCCGTAGACTTGTCAGCTGGTGGCAACGTAGAGATTTTCACCGAAGTAACTGTGAACGCCTCGTGGTACAACATTGGCAAATTCAACAAGATGCTTGGTATTTCCGCTTTCACAATGAAAAGATGCAACAGAATCAAAGCAATTACCACAGTGCAGCTGCCCGAAGCTCTCGTCCACATGCCTTCAATGTTCTTCTGTATGGGACCCTTCTGCATGTTTTCCAACAAAGGAAACAGAGTTGGAATGTTGACTTATGCACCAGAGACAAACATGGCTACGAGTACCTCTGAAGAGCTGGAACCAGAATTCGAGCATGTATTCTTCAATCTCTCAGACGACGAGAAATGCGCCAAGGGTCAAAAAATCTTAGCCGGTGTGTCGAAATACATTCCTAAATTGAAACAAGCCAAGGTGACAAAGGTAAAGCTTAGCATTACCCAAACATTCATGGACGAAGATACGATAGATTTCGGTTTGAAAGTCGGAAACTTGAATTTGTTGCACGATCCACATGTTGGAGGTATTTACAAGAGAAATTACAGTGGAGTGGAGGAACCTCGGCAAGGATATATAATCAATGCATGTATGAAGCTATTGTATTGTTTTGTTAACGCGGAGATCGTAAAGGACCTGATTTTATCGAAATCTGCAGAAGGTTCTGGTACCGAAAGCAATTAAGGGTGACACGTTGGTTTAAAATGTTAAAACGCGACCTCGATAAATTGGCTTCAGAGTGCGCCAGAATTAGTTTTATTCTTCTTCCGTTTGCTGTCCGCCTCTCAAAGCCGTCTCTGCTTGAGACGTCTAATATTGGACAAAATATACGCGACATTTGTGCGCGCTGTTTGGCTAATTTTCTCGTAGAAAAAAAAAAACTGTTATGTTTTTATGCACGAATACATTTATTGCAGACTGAACTGGTCAGTCTTAACGGGCCGCATCTATTTGAGTATTTTACGTTCGCACACGATTTTCGGCCGTTAAGAGCCAACCATCGCCATAAACTTAAACCATTGCTTGCACAGCTAAATAGTTGTAAGTATTCTTTCTTTGTAAATATAGTCAACCAATGGAATAATCTACCTTAAGACGTGGCGTAAGCAGAAACTCTGAACGTTTTAAAGAACAGACTCAGATGCCATTTTACTAATGTTTTAGGAAATTTCTGAACTATTTTATTGTGAATTCTATCGGAAGTAACTTTGCGTTTTTGATTATTTTAGGAGACAAACTTGAAAGGGATAATCTCTTTTGTTTCCTTTTCATCTTTCATTTGTATTTGAATTGTAAATAAACAGTTATGTAACCTAGACTACTCCCTTTGCCATCACCAACCTTTAACTCCCATGGGTGACCGAGACAGAATTTCTCCTTACAACATCAATACAATATCAGCCAGATGAGTGATGAGAATAAAGAAAAATATCAATTTGGGGATAATTAGTTGATCCAATACTAAATTCTCTGAGCTAACATTATAAGAAGTGATTAATAGTAAGGAGAATGACAAATTTGATCCGATAATTAAAGGGTTAATCATTGTCAGAGTGTGACCCCTTTCCTGTGTGACTAAGACTTCTTTCAATTACTTCACTTTTTCTGCGGTAAAACTTATGAAAAGAAAACCAAATTTATATAATTCTCTTTGGTGATTGAGATCGAAGCGTAAAATGAGTTAACCTGTGCACGTGTTGAAAGACTTTAGACTCATTTATCCAAGAACAACTAGCAAATAAAATTTGTCTCTGATTTGTGACGTTTTCAGAAGACTTACTTACTACCCATCATGCCTGTGTGGCACATAGGGCAGCAACGAAATCCTTCCAACCCTGTCTATCTTTAGCCAGTTTTTCAATGGTGCTCGAGCTGTAATTGACCCCCTTAGTCTCTTCTCTACTGTCCTGCGCCAAGTTGTTTTCGGGCACCCTCTGCTTCGTTTGCCTTCAGGTGTCCAGTGCATTGCAATTCTGGCTATGTTGTTACTGGCCTTCCGCATCACATGACCGATCCACCTCTATCTTCTCCTGTTGACAAGTGTGCGAATATCCTCCTGCTTGGTTTGCCTCAGCAGCTGGTCGTTTGATATTTTCTGAGGCCAGAAGTTTCTCAGAATCTTCCTGAGGTTAGCTGTGTGGAAGGATGCTTGTTTTGAGAGGTCCTGTTCTGTCATTCGCCAGCATTCCGAGCCGTTAAGGAGAGTTGACAATACGCAGCTCTGATAGATTCTAAGCTTCGTCTTTGTGCTGTAGCTTGCTGACCTCCACATTGATCTGAAGCTCATAAAGGCATTTCTTGCTTTGTTCAATCTACTTTGTATATCTACACTAGTACCCCCATCTTGGCAGAACACACTTCCGAGGTATGTGAACTTGTTGGTGTATGGAATGTCCTGTCCTCCTATCCTGATCTTTGTTGGGGAAAGGACATTAACACGCATGGCCTCCGTCTTCTTCAAGCTAATTCTCAAGCCGACCCGGTTGCTGAACATGCTGAGCCGGTCTGTCTTTTCCTGAATGTGCTGTCGTGTGTGGGACAATAGGGCTATATCATCTGCGAATTCGAGGTCTTCGACTATAGTAAAAGGGGTCCATCTTATGCCTCTTTGCTGATCTTCCATTGTTCGACAAAGAACCCAGTCGATAGCAGAACACTTATTTCTTGATTAAACAGTCTGGCAAAACTTCGACTATTATTGTTTCTGTTCTCTATGCTTTTTGGCATAAGGGATCGCTCATTATTTATCATCAATAATGGGTAAAGGGGTGGGGGTCGATGGATTTTGGTTGTGTCACAATAACCTTTTTGTTTCACTTGCTTCGTGACAGCATTAGAGTTTTCGCGTATAATTTAATGATGACCTAACTAAAAGGCTTTATAGGGTAGATGCATCACCAAAAAGTGACTAATTTGAGATCGCGAAAATCAAATTTACCCAAAAGTGACTAAGATGGTGTCTCTAATTTGCCACATAATAGACTATACTTGGGCAGGAATTCTATGAGGCCTACAGCACATACTAAGAAAAATGTACCTCCCAAGTACCCCCTTCCCCCCTCCCCCACCTTGTTCGAGAGCCATTATTCTTTTGTTCAAAACAAACTGTCATTCACTATTCATCCCAAATTGAAAAAGCATGTCGATAAGCAATCAAAATCATCGCTCTCAAAAAATCACTGATTCGTAAAGTTTGCTGATAAATAGTTTCTCGATTAAGAAGATGAATGACACATAGAGATCTGTCTCAGATCTCAGTGGGAAGAGGAACTCAAATGTAACACTTAAAGACATACATTGACTCAGGGTAGACTCGATGGCACAAAAGTGTAAAAGACATGCAAGAGCACTCCATGTCACGAACTAAAGGGGGTTCTAATTTTCATGGATTATGCACCGCGCAGTGGGTCAAGTAAGATGGACCTTGAAGAACTGTAACCTTTGTGTATGGCAAAATATACCATTGCAAAATCCTACTGGGTACGCCCAATTATTAGAACTGAATAATTTGTACACAGTATCTGTCTTCCTCTGTTATGATTGTCATGCATACAAATCACAATCCTTTGTGGATTTCAGGATTCGCCGCAAAGAAACTTGGTAAAAGGATAAATTCCACTTTGCAGATAGAAAAACACTTTATATTTCGCATGTGTTAATTCCGTGGGACATGTTTTATATATGAGCTTTTGAAGCATCAAGTTTGACCAAAAAGAGGAGAGAACTCTCGGCAACGTGACGTTGATGAGTCGACTAGAAAATTGGGTGATTTTTCCAATATTTTAAAATACTGACAAACAAACAGGATTGGTAAATTAGGATTTAGAGTTTAAATGCATTTCGTAAAAGTCTCATGCAGGTCTCTCGGCCGAGACCTGCTGACTTCGTTGTTGAAGGAAGCTATTTGATATGCGAGGTCAACCTGGTCAAGGACCCGTGCACTTTGTCATTATTCATCAAAAGTAGAAATAATAATAAGAATAGATAATAAGCATTTGTCTCAGCTTCATTGTTTTGCAACGGTATTTTATGGGTTACCAATAGATCAAAGAAGAAAGGCTAGATACGTGATTGAGATCTTAGGGGTAAGGAACGGAAAGAGACTTTTGGAAGCTACAGTGATTCAAGTTTTAAGGTGGTGCTTGTGCGTCCAAATTCATTAAATAGTAACAGCTCGATAAAAAAGAACGAGCCCGCCGACTACTTATCATTTACGCTCTTCAATCAACGAGGTATGTCCTTTATTAAAGCTGAGTTTAAGCCTTGTGTCACGGAATTCAGCTGAAGCCTGAAGCCAGAAAACTGAAGCCAGAAGACTGAAGCTGCAACTTTGAATGTGACTGATGTTTTTGACGATTTTTTTTCTTGTAATACAATTAGAATTAAACGCAAATACACGGGCAGAAACTGTACATAACTTACGTCATTGCAATCATGAAAACAAAGGCTTCAAATTCAACATATCGTACATCAGGGTAGCTAATAAAATAGGTCGCTGATCAAGCAAGTGAACGTTACAAACTCGCGATCGTTTATCCGGCCGAATCCTAGGGGATCGTAACATCTGATCGTGACTTTAGCTTTTCCAAACACGAATTTCCATCTGGGATGTTCTGATCATGTTTATCTAGGAACCCCTGCAACGCATCAGCAAGCTTGCCATTTGAATTCATCTCAAAGGTTGAGTCAATTTTTCTAACAAAGGAAACAGAGTTGGAATGTTGACTTATGCACCAGAGACAAACATTGCCGTTACTACCACTGAAGAACTGGAACCAGAATTCGAGCATGTATTCTTCAATCTCTCAGAGGACGAGAAATGCGCCAAGGGTAAAAAAATCCTTGCCGGTGTGTCGAAATACATTCCTAAATTAAAAACAAGCCAAAGTGACAAATGTAAAGCTTGGCATTATCCAAAACTTCATGGACAAAGATACAACAGATTTCGGTTTCAGAGTAGGAAACTGGAATTTGTTGCACGATCCACATGTTGGTGGTATTTACAAGAGAAATTACAGTGGAGTGGAGGAACCTCGGCCAGGATATATAATCAATGCATGTATGAAGCTATTGTATTGTTTTGATAATGCCGAGATCGTAAAGGACCTGATTTTATCGAAATCTGCAGAAGGTTCTGGTACTGAAAGCAATTAAGGGTGACACGTTGGTTTAAAATGTTAAAACGTGACCTCGATAAATTGGCTTCAAAGTGCGCCAGAATTAGTTTTATTCTTCTTTTCTTTCTTCTTTTATTTCAATTAAATCTCGGCTTGAGATGTCTAGTATTGGGCAATATATACGCGACATTTGTGCGCTCTGTTTGGCTAATATTCTCGTAGAAAAAAATCGACTGTCAGGTTTCCATGCACGAATGAATCAGACTGAACTGGTCAGTCTTAACGGGCCATATCCATTTGAGTATTTTTATGTTTGCACATGACTTTCGGCCGTTAAGAGCCAACCATCGCAATAAACTTAAACCATTGCTTGAAAAGCTAAATACTTTTAAGTATTCTTTCTTTGTCAATTGGCCAACGAATGGAATAATCTACCTTAAGACGTTGCGGAGGCAGAAGTCTGAACATTTTAAAGAACAGACTCAGATGCCATTTTACTAATGTATTAGGAAATTTTTGAGCTATTTTATTGCGAATTTTATTCAGAAATAAATTTGCGTTTTCGATTATTTTAGGAGACAAACTTGAAAAGGATAACCTCTTTTGTTTCCTTTTCACCTTACATTTGGATTTGAATTGTTAATAAACAGTTATGTAAACTAGACTACTTATCTTTTGACTCTCTTTGCCATTATTAATCATTCTCAGAGTGTGACCCATTTCCTGTCTGACTAAGACTTCTTTCAATTACTTCATTTCCAGGAAAATTTTAACCCCAATCTTCAAACTTTTCCCGCGGTTAAACTTATGAAAAATAAATTAAATTCACATAATTATTTTTGGTGATTGAGATCGAAGCGTAGAATAAGTTAACCTATGCACGTGTTGGAAAACTCAAGTCACATTTATCCAAGAAAAACTTGCAAATAAAATTTGTCCCTGATTTGTGACGTTTTCAGAACACTTATTTCTTGATTAAACAGTCTGGCAAAACTTCGACTATTATTGTTTCTGTTCCCCATGCTTTTTCGCATAAGGAATCGCTCGTTATTTATCACCAATGGGGCGAGGGTTGGGGGTCGATGGATTTTGGTTGTGTCACAAACACGTTCTTGTTTCACTTGCTTTATGCCAGCATTAGAATTTTCGCGTGTAACTTAATGACGACTTAACTAAAAGGCTTTATAGGGTAGATGCATTAACAAAAGGTGACTAATTTGAGATCGCGAAAATCAAATTTACTCAAAAGTGACTAAGATAGAGTCTCTTTTTTGACACATAACAGACTACAATGGGTAGGCCTATATATGGCCTGCGGCACATACCAAGAAAAATATACCTCCAATATACCCCCTTCCCCCCCGTGTTCGAGAGCCACTATTCTTATGTTCAAAACAAACTGTCTTTCATTATTCATCCCAAATTGAAAAGCATGTCGATAAGCAATCAAAATCATCGCCCTCAAAAAATCACTGATTCGTAAAGGTTGCTGATAAATAGTTTCCCGATTGAGAGGATGAATTACCTGTAGCGATCTGTCTCAGATCTTAGGGAAGAGGAACTCAAATGTAACACTTAAAGACATACAGTGACTGAGGGTAGACTCGATGGCACAAAAGTGTAAAAGACATGCAAGAGCACACATTGTCACGAACGAAAGGGGGTTATAATTTGCATGGATTATGCATCGCGCCGTGAGTCAAGGAAGATGAACTTTGAAGAACTGTAACCTCTATGTATGGCAAAATATACTATTGCAAAATCCTGCTTGGTACGCTCAATCTTTAGAACTGAATAATTTACACACAGTATCTGTCTACCTCTGTTATGATTGTCATACATACAAATCGTAATCCTTTGTGAATTTCAAGATTCGCCACAAAGAAACTTGGTATAAGGATAAATTCCATTTTGTAGAAAGAAAAACACTTTATATTTCGCATGTGTTGATTCCGTGGGACATGTTTTGTATATAAGCTTTTGAAGCATCCAGTTTGACCAAAATGAGGAAAGAACTCTCAGCAACGTGACGTTGATGAGTCGACTACAGAAGTGGGTGATTTTTCCAATATTTAAAAATACTGACGGACAAACAGAATGGGTAAATTAGGATTTAGAGTTTAACTACATTTCATAAAATTCTCATGCAAGTCTCTCGGCTGAGACCTGCTGACTTCGTCGTTGTATGAAGCTATTTGATATGCGAGGTCGACTTGGTCAAGGACCCGTGCACTTTGTCATTATTCGTCACAAGTAGAAATGCTAATAAGCATAGATAATAAGCAGTTGTCTTACCGCTATTGTTTCGCAACGGTATTTATGGGTTACCAAGAGATCAAAAAAGAAAGGTTAGAAACGTGATTGAGATCTTAGAGGTGAGAAGCGGTAAGAGACTTTTGGACCTACAGTGATTCAAGTTTTAAGGTGGTGCTTGTGCGTCCAAATTCATCAACTAGTAACAGCTCGATAAAAAAGAACAACCCGCTGACTCTACTCATCATTTACGCTTCTTCAAAGAACAAGGTATGTCCTTTAGTAAAGCTGACTTTAAGCCTTCTGTCACGGAATCTAGCGGAATTCTCGATATTTGGACTGATTAGACTGAAGCCGAAACTTTGAGTGTGATTGATGTTTTTGACGATTTTTTTCCTTGTAATACAAGCAGAATTCAACGCAAGCACACGGGTAGAAACTGTACATAACTTACGTCATTGCAACCATAAAAACACAGGCTTCAAATTCAACATATTATACCTTAGGGTAGCTAATAAAATAGGCCGCCGTTCAAGCAAGTTAACGTTACAAACTCGCGATCGTTTATCCGGCCGAATCCGAAGGGATCGTAACGTCTGATGGTGACTTTAGCTTTTCCAAACATGAATTTCCATCTGGGATGTCCTGATCATGTTTATCTAGGAACCCCTGCAACGCATCAGCAGGCTTGCCATTTGAATTCATCTTAAAGGTTGAGTCAATTTGGCGAGTCAACGTGTTGGTGATTCAATGTTTTCATCGCCCTGAAAGGTTCTTTCCCCTTTTAGGGCCATTTGCGAGTTCGAGATATGGACATTCCAAAAGGCCAGACTATTGTCGTTATCGGTGGAGGAGTGGGTGGCTGTTGCACCGCTCTTGCATTGGCAAGAACACAACAATTCCAAATTTATCTTTTGGAGAAAAATGGAGAGTTGATGAGAGAAAGCAGTGACGCAACTCCGGGACGCATGGGGCTTGGTTTTCATTACGCTGACAAGGAGACAGCCCTCTACTATTTACACGCCACCCTCGAGTTCACCCGAAAGTACGGTCGGTTCCGACAAGAGGTAGGTCGAAATGAAACGTTACATCCGCTGCGTCGAGGCAGATACTTTATCTTGAAAAGTTCATTGGTTCCTGTCAATGAGATTCTAGATACTTATGACGCACTCAAAGAAGAGTACACCACTATGGTCAGCGAAGACCCCAGTTACGAAGTCTTTGGTCGTCCAGAGGACTTTTACCGAGTTCTAGAACCTTGGGAGTTCGAAGAAGATGTCGCGACGGAGGAGATAGAAATGGGAATCGAGACTGCAGAGGAGTTCTTGGATTGGTCAAGGTTGAGGAGATTTATCATAAGTCAGCTGGAACACTTTCAAGACAAGAAAATGGTTGAAATTAGAACAAACTCTGAAGTCACTGAGATTTCAGCGCTCGAGGATTGTGGCGCTTATTTAATAAAAGCCGTAGATTTGTCAGCTGGCGGCAACGTAGAGATTTTCGCCGAAGTAACTGTGAACGCCTCGTGGTACAACATTGGCAAACTCAACAAGATGCTTGGTATTTCCGCTTTCACAAGGAAAAGATGCAACAGAATCAAAGCAATTATAACGGTGCAGCTGCCCGAAGCTCTTGTCCACATGCCTTCAATGTTCTTCTGTATGGGACCCTTCTGCATGTTTGCTAACAAAGGAAACAGAGTTGGAATGTTGACTTATGCACCAGAGACAAACATGGCCGTGAGTACCTCTGAAGAGCTAGAACCAGAATTTGAGCATGTATTCTTCAATCTCTCAGACGACGAGAAATGCGCCAAGGGTCAAAAAATCTTAGCCGGTGTGTCGAAATACATTCCTAAATTGAAACAAGCCAAAGTGACAAATGTAAAGCTTGGCATTATCCAAACATTTATGGACGAAGATACAATAGATTTCGGTTTCAAAGTGGGAAACTTGGATTTGTTGCACGATCCACATGTTGGAGGTATTTACAAGAGAAATTACAGTGGAGTGGAGGAACCTCGGCCTGGATATATAATCAATGCATGTATGAAGCTATTGTATTGTTTTGATAATGCCGAGATCGTAAAGGACCTGATTTTATCGAAATCTGCAGAAGGTTCTGGTACTGAAAGCAATTAAGGGTGACACGTTGGTTTAAAATGTTAAAACGTGACCTCGATAAATTGGCTTCAAAGTGCGCCAGAATTAGTTTATTCTTGTTCTGGTTGCTGTCCGCCTTTAAAAGAAATCTCGGCTTGAGATGTCTAGTATTGGGCAATATATACGCGACATTTGTGCGCTCTGTTTGGCTAATATTCTCGTAGAAAAAAATCGACTGTCAGGTTTCCATGCACGAATGAATCAGACTGAACTGGTCAGTCTTAACGGGCCATATCCATTTGAGTATTTTTATGTTTGCACATGACTTTCGGCCGTTAAGAGCCAACCATCGCAATAAACTTAAACCATTGCTTGCAAAGCTAAATACTTTTAAGTATTCTTTCTTTGTAAATTGGTCAGCGAATGGAATAATCTACCTTAAGACGTTGCGGAGGCAGAGGTCTGAACATTTTAAAGAACAGATTCAGATACCATTTTACTAATGTTTTACGAAATTTCTGAACTATTGTATTGTGAATTTTCTTCAGAAATAAATTTGCATTTTTGATTATTTTAGGAGACAAACTTGAAAAGGATACCCTATTTTTTGTTTCCTTTTCACCTTTCATTTGAATTTGAATTGTTAATGAAAAGTTAGGTAAACTTGACTACTAATCTTTACTTTCATTTCCAGGAAAAATTTAACCCCAATCTTCGACCTTTTCCCGCAGTTAAACTTGTGAAAAATAAATCAAATTCATATAAATCGTTTTGGTGATTGAGATCGAAGCGTAAAATGAGTTAAGCTGTGCACGTGTTGAAAGACATAAGACACAGTTATCCAAGAAAAACTTGCAAACA